AAGAGTGTAGAACTTCAAGGGTGGCTGAAAAAAAGAGAGCAGAAAACTAACTGGGAGTATATCACAAAAAGTCTGTATACATTTTTCATGTATGCGCAGTGTTGGAAATTAGCTAATATTTCCTTAACCCACGCTGAGGGGAGGGAACAGACCATGAAGGAAATGTGATGTTATTCACTCTGGCAATAGTCTCCTTTTCCGTTCTGGCTTGGGAGGGGCTGCCTTCTCATAAGTCAACATTCCTGTTGTAAAAAACATTTTAGGAAATTGTGATCACATTGTGTTACCAGACAGGACTATAACCAGCCGTATGCTTAACTCTTAATTGCATCTTATGAGTGTGAACAGCAAATGAAGGGTATCACACTAAAAAGCAGCCTGTGATTTAGTTAGAATTGTGGTGGAGGTTTGTAATTTCTCTCAACAGTCTTCACCTCTGCATGTTATGTGGCTGTCTCCTGCCATCAATTTGGTTTTGCAGTTATTGTGCTTCAAACTGTGAAGTTGCTGTCAAGTATAGCAGGGATTCCTCTTTTGCTTCACCACAGAAAAGGCTTGGCTTTTTTTCTTGTTTTAATCAGATTGTGATACAAAACCTCTTTCTCTTTTACTAGAGAAAAACAGGAAACACCTTTATACGTTATTCTGAAAGCCATGTGCGTAGTGAGCTGTAACTGCTGATTAGACCCTCAGTAAAAGGCAGCTATTGCCCTGTATGTTCACAAAAGAAAAGAACATGTATTTTGTCATCAGCAACATCTGCAATGTTTCTGTGCAGCCAGCAAAGTGCTGGAAGCTGTACAGTTTTCCTGCAATGCAGAGAATTCCTGAAGTCAGGAGAGTAAGCTTTCTGATCCCATATATCACATATATCGTGCAGCAATCTCTGCAGAATGTGTGAGTAGCATAATTACATTTTGGATGTTAAGTTCAGAACGTTAGTTATGGTTTGTTTCTCACATTCAAAGAGCATAAAGACATTTCTTCCCGCTTTGCAGGTATCTAGTGAAGAAGGAGGAATCTCTTTTGCAAAAAACCTCCAGAAACAAATCTTACTGCCTTGCCAATATAACCTAACAGAATCAGTGGCTGTCTTGAGACTGCACGGGTGAAGATTGCTTTCTATAAAGACCTGAGGTTTTTTTAGTTCTAAAAACTAAACTCTTTGAACTTCTGGGAAGTTCTTTCTCTGCTGATTGATACAATGAGTTGCAGCTATTGAAAGCTGCAATAATTAAGTAAAGTGCTAGACTGAGCATAAGGCTCCATGATCTGCTGTTGCTATCCCCTTTATGTTGTTCTTGCTGTGTCTCACTGTGTCAAGTTTTTATTCAAGTCTGAAGAAGATCTCTTCCTTCAAAAATAAATGAAAACAGAAGCAGAGGAAGAACCAAGAGGCAAATGGCCTGCATATGAATTGCCTCTTAGTATGTTCTCTGAAGATGAACCTCTCTTGTCTGGAATCTGACATTTAAGTAGGTTGATCGCTATGACTCTTATAGTTGAGAACAAAGGCTAATGAAGTAAGTCATAAGGTTTGGTATCTATGCACGCTGCTGGGGAAATCGGATGTTGGGGGGAAAGTCCCCAAGGAAAGACTAAAGTTTGCACAAAGCACTTCTAATAGGTGACAACTAGTGGTGCACTTCAGCTTTCATCATTAGCAGCTGGACTCTAGTTCTGTAGGTCTGGAAAACTCGGTATTTTGAAGAGTCACCTTTGTTCTACCACTGCTCGGCTACCCTAAGAGCAAGACGTGGCCTCAGTTTTCTTTGTCAGAGTAGCATTCAGCATTGCAAGCTGAAGATGGAGGAAAGAGTCTAGTCTGTCTTACTCTGCATCATACTGACCTATGATGCTTGCAAAAGAATGATGCAGAAATTGAAATGGCTTGAGATTTAGCGTTCCTGTGTAAAAGATGATTGAGAACTGAAGTGCAAACTTGGAGACGAGCCATGCGGCTGGAGACAAAGGACTGAGATAAGGGGTTTGAAGGAAAGAGATAGGAAAGATGGAAGATCCACAGAGGAAAAGGAAAGAGAAAAGAAAGATGAGACAGGATTTTCTGAAGGGAGATACATGGAAACATCTAGGATAGAATATAGTGAGCAGATTTAAGCTTCAGCAAAGATATCCAATTAGTTAATCCTGCTAGTTAACTAAAATTCTGTGTATATTCTTTGTACTACTCTAAATGTACAAATCCCTCCTTAACTTGAAAGCAGATTATTTTCCTGCTCATAGTATCAAAACATAAGGAATGGTCTGAACTGCTTCAAGATTCTTTAAGTGGTGTGCTCTTAAGTTGTCTTTGGCAACCAGTTTTCTTTTTGTGCCTTAGAGCTACTAAGAAAGGTCTTTGTGGAAGGAAAGAGTCAAACCTCTTCCCCTTGTACAAGGAGCGCCATTACAACTCCGAGGCATTCAGTCCCATTTTTTACAATGAGTTCCATTTATATCTTTGTTTAATAAACATGACTAGATCCAAAGTAATAGCCACTCATTTCTGGGAGAATAGTTTTGCTAGCTTTGTAAGTGTGGGTGTGGTGGGGGGTGTGTGTGTGTGTGTTGGTAAGGTAGCTAGCAAAAAACATGTTATGGCTAAGACTTGTCTTTCTTTTGAAGCATACCCACTTTCCACCTGAATAGCTTCAGAACAAACATCTGCCTGTACTTTCTTTTCTTTCAGTGACTCATCTCACTGATTTTTTTTTTTCTTAGCTGTCCAGTTAATTCTTGTAACACGATTACAGTTACAAGGTAGTCTTGCCTTTTAACTACTAGCTGATCATTTGTATCTGAAACACAAAAGCAGCTCTTCTGTGGTGCTTACCATGTTATCTTTGAGTCTTTAATTGTTGAATAAGCTTTCCGTGTCAAGTACAGAAGTATTACTGCTAGATAAGGAACCTGAGGGATGCTATCATTACTTGCCGTGCTGAAAGTCAAACAGAAAACCTGTAGTAATTGCAGGAATAGAACCTCTGAGTTTCACCCTCCCTCTGTGCCTTAACCTTCAAAAATACTCTAATTTGAGAAGCTCTCTGCAAAATGTTTTCTATTCACAAAAACTATAAACCATTTTCTATCACTAGTTGTTTTTTTTGCTGACTAGTTGTTTCTGAGCCTTTTAAAATTCAGTGTTTGTTTCTCAAACCAATTAGAAGTTAAATCATTATTAGTTACACTATTTTATTACTCATATTTGTTGTGCAACTTCGTGTCATTTGTTACCAGTGTAAAAGACCCAGAAACACATGTTTAATCAGAACAGATTGATGTCTCCATTTAGATATCTTTGTTTCAGCTTAGTAACTGAAATGAGTAGGATGGGAAGGAATCATTGTCTAGTATTGCTGGGAAGAGTCTAAGGAGGTTACTAAAGACAAGCTAATGTTACCTTTTGAGGGTGAATCCTATCTTATTTGATTCTGCTTCATGGAATAAGTTTGAGTCTTCTGATAGTTGAATTTGTTCTGCTTCTGAAGTGGCTGTTTCCTAAGTACTGGTACAGGGGGCAGCCAAAAGGGGAAAAAAGTGTTCCTCCCTTCACCTGCTTGTATGTCATTTGTCTCAGCTGCATTCTGAAGACTGCAATCATGTGGAGTGGGCTATCCTCAGCCAGATATCCTTTTTTCCTACTTTTTTCCCCCCCCCCCCCCCTCTCTGGCACTAATTAAGGGGGTTGGAGGTTCATGAGACAGCTGAGCCAACCTGTTGACTTGCCGTATGGAAAGGCGTTCCAGCCCTGTGTGAATTGTAGAAACGTCCATTTCACGTGAAGATTCTCATGTTATGCATTCAGAGCCTGTGGTACTAGATAATATGGCATAAAGGGCTAGGTCTAAACTTACGATTGTTTTGTGTGACCAATAATGACCAAAAATGAAGCTTGACTGACTCCTGCTACCTCTTTGTTGCTGATCCTTCTACTTTCCAAGTTGTTGTCTGGCAAAATATATAATAAATAGCACAGTAGGAACCCTTTAATGTGAGGTAGATAAGATGTGAAGGTGTTAACTGATTATAGAGGATAAGGGGACAAAAATCTGACTTGTTAGGTTGAGGATTAACATTGTATAACATCACAGCAAAATTCTTACAACAAAGATAAAACATGTCTTAGGCTTTCAGTATACGCTCATTGGAATTTATCAACGCACAACCTGGGATGATGCAAGGTGCTGCATGCTATCCAAATTCCACTGGGGAATTGGCAGAGTAGCAACAGCCTCTTGGTGTCGGTGGGATGTGATCAGGCTGTGCTGTGGCTTCATTGGCAGAATGCTCTCGTCCTGCAAGAGTAGTCTCCAATGTAACCTGTGACCATCTCCACACAGAACATAGTTGAATATCATTATAGTCCTATGGGGTTTACAAGCATTTGCATATGTATAAAGGTGCTGAGTCTGAAAAACGTAATGACAAGACTCCTTATTACTTTCTTCCCCTGGAATGTTCCCACTTCTGAAACTATCCTCAAATTTTAGAGCAGGAGGTAGGTTCTTAACTGAAGAACTGCAGTGTCACCATTGCAGCTGATATAGCAATAATTCTGGGAAAGATGCTGTAAAAATAACTGTCTGCATTTTGAAATGTTTACTTCTTGGTTTCTCTGCAGCTGTTGCCCTACTGCCCTTTAATACTATCTTGCATTTTCTCTCCTGCTTGCTTTAGTACTTTTAAGAGGGGATGGGGGATCTTCCTTTTTTAATTTCCCTATTTAGTCTCAACTCCTTCCTCTTTTTCATGCTCTATATTCTCGTGGTGATTGGCCACACCAGTATTTTAAGTGAGCTTCTGGTGATCTGGACAGCTTCAGGTTTCTAATGTCATTCAGCCAGGCCATTAATGAAGTTGCTCTGTAGTTTCCTTTGAAATTTCATTTATGTGCAGGCTTTCTGAACTGAGATCATGATACAGCACTTTTTCTCTCATACTTTATTCTGGCCTCACAATTAGCTATCAATATTGCTTATACAAACAACAAGTAAAGCAAGAAATATTAATAGAATGGTTAAAAATACTAACTGAGAGCAGACAGGCACCTCAATACCAAAAGTTGTCAGATGTTCTTTCATATTATGTATGTGAATAAAATGGAAAGTTACAGTTTCTTCGGAACTCATGGAAGTGTGAACTGAAGAACTCAAAACAACTTTGTGCAATGTTCTGTAAGAGGCAAAAAACAAACAATACGCCTTTCATTGCTTCAGTTCCACAGAATTCATAGACTTTTGGTATACCAGAAAGTTTCCAGTATTTTCTATTCTTTTATTTCTTTTAAAATAAAAAATGTGCCTGCATTAATGCTAGGAAATCTATTCTTCAAAAGTTTAGTTAGTACAAGAGTATAAGTTGCAAAGGCATTTAGGAAAATACTCCCCATTACATCCTGTTGGTGTAGAAGCTACTTCCATGCTGTCTAGCTGCCAAGAAACCAAACTGTATAGTTTTTTGAGACTGTTAACTGTGGTTTTCTCATGATATCCGCACTTCTTGAAGATGTTCTGAAGTTGTTTCTAGTGAACAGACAAGCCCTTTTTGACAGAAATGTTTTCTTGTTTTTTGACGTTCAAACTTTAATGCAAAACCTAGTGCCAATGGTTTTAAAAAAAAAAAAAAAAAAAAAAGATTCAGTTAATCTGACTGTGGTGCTGCTTGCACAAAAAGTATAACTTAACTTCTTGTTGGCAAAGATGTAGGAAGAATCTCTGTATTGCTCAATGGAGAGAACATCTGAGAGAAAATAACAACATTGGAACAGGTAGTGTAGGAGATACAAGCTGGATATCCAGCCTGTTTTTATGATGTGGCAGTGTGGTTCAAAAGATCTGATTACCTGTAACATTGTTGTCAGGTAGTAATGTTCTGCCCATTTTTGCACACCTCTTCCTTTGTGATAAGGTAGAGGTAGAAGTTTCTCTTCTTCAGGTTATCAAGATGCCAAAGGAACTGTGGTTAAAACATGAGGCCACTTTCTGTACTGAAAGAGGGCTACTTCTTTTTGGGAAATGACTGCAGTGGTTTTCAGATGGCAGATAGTAAACTGGTCAGTCAGGCTGGTACTAGGCATGTGTTGATGACTGAAGGTACACTACTGCCTCACCAATGAGATTAAAAGTTAACTTATTCCCAGATGCTCCAGCAGTGGAGGGGAGAAAGGGGAACTCCTTGTTCCAATAGTTGTGCTTCAGATTGCCTACAAAATGGAAAGAGCTCTAAGTAGCCAAATGAAAAATAGGCAAAACAGCTTGTTTTTGCTTTTTCTAGAACCGTAGCCTTTAAATAGTTAAAGAGTTACACCAGGAGCACTTGTTGGTTCAACCTATTTTTAGGTTACTGGAAGAACCTTTAGGTTGTGAAATGTATGCTGCGTGTTCTTGTCCTTGTGCTAGAATGAAATATTTAAAAGAGGAAATGTTTTCAGTAATATTCCAGGAATCTTTGAATAAATGCTGTTCCTCTCGGCATGAGTGGTTAAAATTTGAGCTCTCAATCCCTTGAAAACAAATGTTTCTACTTTGATTCAAATTCTGCTTGCCCTCTCTCTCTTCTCTGTTCTGCTCTGCCAGCGTAAAAGAGCTAAAACCACAGCCTAATGTCACAGTAGAACAAGTATATACAGGGGAATCCCCCGATGGCACAGAGCTGTCAGAGCTACTTCTAGGCAAGGTCCTTTCCTCTGCGAAGCAGACACAATGCCTCCTGGAGCAGGCTTGGAGAAGCAAATTTTCCTTCCATGCTTACAGAGGCAGTGGGGAGGTCAGTTTATATATCTTGTCATTGCCAACCATTGAGGAACCATGTAGCTAGAGTACAGGCAGAAGAAAATACTGTAGCTAGAGTATCTCCATGCTTTATCAATCTCTGGCAGAACAGGTAGGCTTAAAGCAGACAGAATATTGGCAAGCTGTAAAATCTATCTTGGCTGGCATCATTCCAGAGCTGTATTCACCAAAACTGATGTGCACTTCTACCCTTTTTCAAGTGAGTTACCAAAACTTCCAAGCCAAAATCTGCCTCAGCTTACATCTGACTTTCACGTTTGCATCACTGGAAATAATTGGCAAGACTATTGCTTCAAATGTCTTCACAAATATTAGGGACTTACGGAAATAAATAGTGCCAAAACTGAGGCTGAAGGCAGTGAGTATACTTAGCAGAATCTGCTAGCAATGTTCTTTTTATTATATGTGCATAAAAAGAATTTTCACCTTTCTGCTACATGCACAATCTGTCCCTGTCTTCAGATCTTTAGCTCAAATGCCTCTTTAGACTGTAACATCCCTTGCGTGGTACAGCTTTCATCTGCACCTATTTTAGTACAAATCATACCGTAGCAATAGAATCAAATCTTAGGAAAACATTGCAAGTATTGTAGTATTATTAGAAGCTGCCTATCTTCTACAGCAGTAAGAAATAGTAAGTGGTCATTTTGATTCTAACCTTACAACATTTTGCCTTTATAAGGCAAAATTCAGAATTAAGTCACAAAGAACAGAAGGTAGATTGAAAGTTGATACACAATGAAAGGGAGAATGCAGGGACAGATGAAAACTTTACAGGTAGTCCTTCTGTAAGATGCTTTACTGTTCGGAGAGTAAAGGCATAAGCGAAATAGTTAACTAGTTACAGATTTGGCTCAAATGAGAGAAAGGAAGGAATGCAAAGGAATGCACTAGAACTAACCAAGAGATATAGAGAACTGCAGGGCAGCTTTTTTTAAAAGAAAGCATTATTTTTTCTAAGGCAGTGTTTTGTTAAGTGTTTATGAAAGAGCAAACTTAAGCTTCTCATAGAAGAGTGCTTGCTGTGGTGTAAAATTTCTTTCTTCATTAAAAAGTCCTGAGGTTAGTTTTGTCAGCTGTTCAATATTTTTATATTATGTCTTGTGTTCTCTTCTACTTTTTAAAAATTGTATATGTATGTTACTGGATTTGTTTTGTTTTACAGTTGTACAATTTTGGAGAAACGGTTTCTATAGTTTTCTGGACAGATACATGGCAGCCAGAAAGCTTTTTTGACAAGATCAAGAAGAACAAGCAGAATGGAATGCACACACTGTGCTTACTTGGTAAGCAGCAGCTATCCCTGTTCCTTAGCTACCGTCTTCCACAGTGTCCAGACACAGCAGTGATAGGCATGAGATGAAGCCTATGATTAAACAGATGTTCTCAGCTAATGTGTATCCGTGGAAATAATCTAAAAATTAAAGCTTTAGCGCATGTGTACTCAGAATCAGTTCTGCTACTGTCCGTGCTACCGTGGCCAGGAGTGTCCTCATTCTTCTTCAGAGAATCTGTAAGACATTGTGCAACTGTAGAAGTCAAAACAGGAGCAGGAGGCCTGTATTTGCTTTAATGGTCAGTATAATTTTAAGCTAGATCTAGCTCAGGATCCAGATTAAATTGCAGTAACTAGAGCTATGTTTTATTGACTTAGTTTAGAACTCAATACATTTGACCTTTGAGGAGCCAAATCATATGTTTAACCACACTTCTGTTTTGTGAGGTGGTATTTGATTTCCTAAATGATCTCATCTAATGATGTTTTGGCAAAAGGTGATTGTCATGAGAGAAGCTTATGTACTATAAAAAAAAATCCTTGCTGATCATAGATCCAAAACAGAATAGCGATTCTAGCTGACGTCTGTCCTCAGGCTCTCCCATGGCTTTGTCTGATCTTTATCCTTCCTGCCTAACAATCCTAGGCTAAAAACCTCCTTCTGACTAAGTCTACCTGTCTGGGTAACTTTTTATAGGTTATGCAATTGCCTGAGTATATGCTATAAGACAGTTGTTTATTTGTATCTAGAATTAGATACTCTTTCTGTATGCCTTTCAGACACAGTTGGGATCTGCCAATGCTTGATACAATAATATTTTAAGTAAAAACAAATTCTGTGGTAGCTGGAGTAATCCTGATCAGGAAACGATTTAAATGTGTCAGCATCACTGCACATCCAACTTTCCAATGCCTTGAACGTTGGTTGCTTTCAAACTTGGCTAAAAAGCATAATTTTGATAATTTATTTTAAAGGATAACTTCAGAAATGTTTCAAACGAGGATTATTATGACTATATGTTAAAATTAAAATGAATCTGAAGAATACTTTGTTTTCATAATCATTCCTACTTTTTCCCTTTTTATGTTTAATTTTTTTTTATGCAGCAGGAAGAGTTTAATTTCTTTTTATGCAGCAGGAGGAGAAAAAATTTTGAAATAGTAGAATTTAATTATATATCCCTTTATTCAGGGACATTTGTCATACCATCATATAAGAATCTGATTGTAACTCACAGCTGAAAACAAGTATCAGTTTTCAAGTTAATTGTTTCCTTAACACTAGTTGGTCATTCTGATGTATGTATTGATTGTTTATTCAACTAATTTTTTAAATTTGATTATCGGGTAAGCAAATGTGATGTAAAAAAGTGCTGATAGATATCTGATTTCAAAGCAACTTTATTGACATATAAGCAATTTGGTAGGCTGTGCCCCAGTAGTCTTGCAACTTTGCATTTTCTTTCAGCAAATCTTGCAGAATCACCTTGGTTTAGGAGTTGATCTCATAATCCAAGCGAGACCTTTTTTTTTTAATTAAGTTTGAAAAAGTGTCTAGCTTTCACTTTGATAGTATTTTAATGGCATTTGAATACAGATCATAATAATATGATTGTTTGTTAGTGTATTTAGGGAGTGTAATGCATACTAGTATCATATGATTTGTCTCAAGACAGGTTGTGGTCTAGTACAGTTTTGTAAAGTTACAGATGTGTAGATTCCTACCTGACCCCTCCTCCTTTTTATTTTTGTATTGTTTTGTTTTTTCCAAAATCCTCCTTTTCCCATAACAGAAGATTGTTCTAAATTTTGATTGGGACAGAAAGGAAGTGCTAATGAAAGTTAGGTTCCTGCATGGTAGTGATGTAATTGTTGTCGATCTGGTCATACTGTTCTACCTTCTGTGACCACAGAGTATTCATAAGAGTAGTCCCAGTACCCTTGTGTGGTTAAACATCCTAGCATTTAGTAACCCTCTCCGATGGTAAATATGCCTGCCATTTTTATACTTAACAATATTTTTTATTCTGCTAATATCTGTGAAACTTGCATGTGATTTTACCCAAGGACAGTGCATAAAATCATAGTGTTGTATGATTAACACATTAAGCGGGATAGAATGGGTTAAACTTTGGCTGTAATCCATATTCCTTTCCTGTAATAGCTAAAATACTGCTATGAAGTTTACAGGATTTGCTAGGTAAACTAAGCTTTAACTATACAGAAAAGTGTAACTGGTAAGTTTGTAGGGAATCTGTGTTTCAATATTACTATTTTGTTCTACAGACATTAAAGTGAAGGAGCAGTCTCTGGAGAATCTAATGAAGTAAGTCATCACTTTGAAAATATATGGAAGCTCACAGCATGTTTACAAAGGTTCTCTGCCCACAGTCTATTACTGAACTCACCTGCCTTGTCCTCTTGTACTTCTCAGTGGGCATAGTCTTTTGTTTCTTTTAAGTAAGACTTTTCTGTTGATTACTGTAGGACCTGGCTTTATTTACAGTAACTGAATGAAGCTGTAGCAGCAGATAATTTTTGTTTTAACTGCTTCTATGAGAAGGATTAGGTCAGAGCTGGGTGAACCTTCTGCTTGGCAGATGAAGTGTTATTTTACTACCATTCTGTCTTGTGTAGTGCTGCATCCTGAAATAGATTGATTCTAGCCAGTATAAGGAAGAATTAATAGCTGAAAGAGTATTTTGAATTAATGTGAAGTGCTGAATACACACTACACTTCTTAATGGGAGAATTTTTTAATATATTGCTTAATTAAATCAGTTCATTTAGCGGCATCTGAAAAAAGCTGTTAACCACATCCTAATCATCCCCCTGCAATCTGTATGTTTTGACAATTCGGAATATAAATACTTACAGACATGCTGTAACTCTGGTTTAAATTCACATTCATGAAGTCTGACAGTAACATTGAAGTTTGTTTGTTTTGGAGCTCCAAAATAAAATCTATTTGAATCAATCCATAGTTGGCAGAATAACTTAGAAGCATTTCATTTAAGAATATATTTCTAGTCTATAACTATCTTGTCTACAGGGCACTGGATAGGAAAACACTAATTGGTCCTTGAATTTAGGTCTAATGTGTCTTTCAGGAGCAGTTGTGCAAAACCTTAAGATTTAAATGATCTGCCCTGTTGGAGCTCTGCTGTTTCTCAGGTGTGCTGAGAACACAGTAGACTTCCTTCCTTCCTTAAAAATTTCACTCTTGTCCAAAAAGCTGGGCCTGAGACCCTGGCCCTCTTCAAGTTCAATTTGCTGGTTCAAAGGTTTCACCTGAAATAGTCTGCAAGAACATTAGGGATAGTGGAACAGGTTATATGTTAAATCACTCTAATTTCCTTTCCCTGCAGGGGAAGGAAGATATATGAGCCACCACGCTACATGAGCGTGAACCAAGCTGCAGAACAGCTTCTTACCATTATTAAAAATAGGAGGCTCCAAGGAGAAGAACCAGGTACTATTATTACTGCAACATTTCTAGCTACTACTACCACTCTCTGTTAACACTTATTGATGAGCCTCTGAACTCTCCTCCCTTCCTTTTAATCTGAGCGTTCTCTTGATCTGCAGTGGAATTAGGCTGCTTTAAATCCTAATTATGAGATGGATTTGGCAGAGTTCAGACATCCTATAGGTCAGTGAACACAGCTGAAAGAGTATGAGTGGCTCCTGGAGATTTAGTCCAAGTCTGTTTGGTAACCCTGTATTGTTTCTGTCCATCTTAAACTGTGAGTTCTTTGATCCACTGGAGTTGTGAGATGGTGAAGGATCTCTCTATTTCTATTGGTCACACTCTGCTTTACATGAATACCAGCATTAATTTAGATTAACCCTAAGATGCAGGGCTGTGATTTTTGACCTTGGATTCTTAACACTAGTCAACAACAGATTGTAGAATGTGGTTATTAAGACCAGGGGTGAAATCTGTTTTGGTTCATCCATAGCAGTTATGAAGATAACTCACTTGTCATGGAGGAATTTGTTTAAAAATAATTTTCCCATCTATTCTCCTTCCTTTAAAAGCTTATTCTGGATACGCTGTGTTAAGATGAAAGGAAATAACCCTTCTGTTTTATCCTACGTGTAAATGAATCAGAAGCAGTGGTCTTTTCTAAGTGAATACAATTCCTGAATATATTTCCTATTCTACTTCCACTGCCTTTGCATTCCTACTTATAAGAAAGTAGAAAGCTGTACTGTAGGGATGTTTATAAGAACAGGCTTTTGCTCTCTAGGCCACTCTGCCTCTGACTAAGCCTTAGCTTAAGCAAAGAGTAAAGCATTTTATTTTCTTTCCTTTGTGGTTATTACTCAATAAATCAAGCATTTTTGTGACAGTTTGAACTTGGCCCCGGAAAAGGCTTAAAAGGATCACTTCTTGAATCTCATCTTTTACAGAAATTACTGAAAACACAATTTGTGTTGGCCTCGCACGTGTGGGTGCTCCTGATCAGAAAATTGCTTCAGGCACGCTGCATCAGATGTCCACTGTGGAATTAGGTGGTCCGCTACATTCCATGATTGTAACAGGTTCTATGCATCCTCTGGAATTAGAAATGCTTAAGCTTTTTTCTGTTGACAGCTGTTCTAACTCTGAAAATAATGCATTGAAAAGGACCCTTTAAATAAAAACAGGTTTTTTTTTTATTCCATCTTAGAGCTTGCTTAAATACACTTAGATTGTATGTTGCTGTGAAAGACAACATGACCTGAGGCTACAAAATGCAAGATGTACCTGCTACTATTAGCTTATAACATGTAAAAACTTCTCCAAAAGCCTTTAAACTGCAGGACCCCTTTGTCTGGTTCAGTGTATTTACATCCACATAAGCTTCAAGTTGATGACTAGGGTAAGAAGATGCAAGGACAGACCTGAAGAAGTGTGGCAGATGTCTATTCAGCATCACTTTTGCTACAATGTTAATTGGGCTTCCTGCATGTATTGTAGTAAGTGTATTTTAGGTGTTGAATTTGGTATTTCAGCTTTCCCAGAATCCAGGAGTTCTTTCATTAATGCAGAACAATACAATAGCATGCAAAAACTGAGGTCTGTATCCACCTTTACACAGAGCAGAGTGAGAATATTCTTTACTTTTGTGAACCAAGAAAAACAAACTCACCCTTTGGACAGCTGGGGAAAAAGAGGTGGAAGCCACATAAATTTCTCATTTCAGAAGGCTGCAACTTATAATAGAACCGCCTTTCTCTGTGGGTTAGTGCTAGCATTTATGAAGCACTGGGCTTGAAGTGCAGCAATAATTCTCAAAAAACAAAGACGCTGAGATTTTTCTTCAGAATCATCTAGCAGATGATGGTGGCTGCTATTCAAACTGGTCATACTGAGAAGACAATAGAACAGGCATCTATGCAGGTCTTTTTAAACTGAAAATTTATTGAAAAGAAACTTGATCCCATACTTTCAGTGATATAGGATATATTATATAGACATATTCAAGTAGAAAAGATTACATTACAATTTTCTAATATTGCACTTGGGACAAGTCATGGCTAAGCTACTAACATTAGTATTCCAGAACAAAATCATATATGGCCTTCAGAATTTTAGTGACCTTCCTTGTGTTAGCAGATTTCGTCACAGGTATTTGGACACTGCTCTATTCAACTTAAGCTCACTGCTAAGAGTAATTCCACGTAGCTGAAAGTAACTGCAATTGAAAACAAGGCAAGCAATACACTGTATCCTACCAGGCATGATTTTTAGCAGTTTCTTCATTCACATTATTTCACACTCCAGCCAAAATATTGTAGCAATTCATTTAACTCTTGTACAAGACCCTACCATATGCATGAAAGATTTCAATGCATGTGGGAAGTGAAATATGCAACTCCCCTTTACACATTATTTCCGCCAAGTTACCACATAGGCAGGAACTTTTGTGGCTCGCTAAATCACACAAGGAGATTTGTGCAAATGCTGATGAAACAAAACCTGTAGTCTTCACCTGCCAGACAAAACAGAAGCACAGGTACCATTTTTTTCATGTTACAGCAGTCTCTGGCCAATGAAGGCCCAACATGGATGGCCACTGCAACAAAGCCTCAACAGGGGAGAAAAACCCCAAGGGAAACCCAGGAGGTTGCAGAGAGGGATTTTAGGACAAGTGTAAAGGGAAAACTAACTGGTGAGTCAGTATTAGGGAGTCAGAAAACTGGATTATGAAATATATTTATGTATAATATATATCCCTCTCTACTCTCTACCCACACCTAAAAGGGGGGGTGGGTGGGATAAGAGGAATCATAGTAAATGACATTTTGATAGCTGCTGGAAAAAACAAGACAGGGCTTAATTAGTAACTAAAAGCATTGCTCTGAACTGGTATTTAAAGATATTGTTAGATGAGTATTGATTAGGACTTGCATATAATAAAGAGTAATGCCCAACTTAATTCACGTTTCACAAAAGCATCAAGCTTTCTGCAACTTAAATCTGCACTCAGTACGAAGGAAAAGCCATGAACTTCACAATTTGATTGAGCGGTCTAGGTTAAGGGTAGAAAAAGTGCAGTTCAGCAGTAGCTTCTCTCCCCTCTGAAACCTTGTTTACATTCCCAAAACAGGCTTACTTACCAACAAGTTAAAAGAAATACCATTGCCTTCCTCCATCTTTAAACCCAGCTTTACTACTTCAGAAAAAAAATTAAGAATATTAAAACTCACTAAGGTCCATTTCATTAGTAGCAGTAGTTTCAATCTGTATGTAAAGAAAAGAACCACTTACAAGACAGCTAGAAAGTTTAAGTTTAGAAAAATCACAATGGACATTGTCATTGGCTCTTACAAGTGATTAGATTAAACTTTAGTTTCAGTAAACAGGATTCCACAAGAAGCAGTCATTTATTTGAACCAGCACTTTTTGCATTAGTTTAGCAAATCACGTGAGTAGTCTAGCTCTTTATCTGGGCCCTATTTGTACAAAGAACAAGTCTTACCCATAAGTATAAGTTTTCAGAATTAGCCTACAAAGGATTGCTGGTTTTTTTTTTTTTTTTGTTACTATTTTTAGTCTTAAGGAGAAGAGCAGTTTTCTTCCCCCATTATTTAGCATACCAAACATTCGGGGCATTTTAAGTATAGAACGCTAGAGCACTTTTTTAAAAAACTTTCCAGAAATGCAGTTAAGACTTTTGCAGGTTGCTGCTTAGAAAAGTGAAATAACATTTTGCAGCAGTTCCTGTAAAAAGCATGCAGTTTGCAGGCTTAGCCTTTGAGACAGTACAGTTGTAAGTTGCTGTCTTCAGTCACAGAAGAAAACCCCTTATACAGACCAGTAACCCTACGGTGGGTGATGTTCAGCTCCATAAAAAACATAAGCAAATTGTATTTGGAAAACTTAGTTCAAAATCCAGTACTGGTACCAGAAAAGTCAATTTTAGCAGATAAATAATCTGCTAAGACATTCACCTATCATTGGATGTTTTAGTCATTCATACAGATCTATTCCCTCCCCCAAAAAGCTTCTCCACTAACATGTTATATAATAACATATTGTGTGTTTTATAATAAGCAAAGTATTACATAATTAGCAAAACACAAAATAATGTTCAAGATACAAAGGGTTTCACTTTCAATTGCATGATTTGTAGTCTTGTAAAACCAAGGCAAGTAGGTGAAAAAAAATTAGATGTCACCCTGTTTATTGACCTTTTAGATATGATTATATTTAACTACTGGATATGTTATCTACTGCCTTTTGTAGAATCTATTGATGCTGATCTTTTTCAGAAAGACTAAAAAGGCTAAGTCTGCTTTCAAACTGGCTTCCCCATATGACCCTCAGAATTACATTTAACAAGTTATATATATCGTCACACTTCCTTCATTACTTTTAAAAGGATGACTTGATGTTTCTCACTATCTTGGTTAGAAAAACGCAGAGCTGCACGTGTGCTTCCAACAGTCAGATGAGAAATCCTTATAGGCAATACAAAGGCTTCAAAACATGATTAAAACTAAAGTTTTTTGATTGTAACCAGCTTATAAGCTTTTTTCACTCCATCATCAGGTGTATTAAAAGCATCTGTAGATTTGCATCTTAACAAAACCCAACTATGACCCAGGCAAATTCTGAATGGGAGACTTAGAGTAAATCTTAGCAATTGTCTTTTCTTTAAGAAAAGTAAAACAGTGGCCAGGCCTAACAACTTAGGTGGCACTACAGTACTTTAGAAAGCCTAGACCTGAAATACACACCGCACCGCTACAACAATGATTTAAACTGAAGTGCGTTCCTGAATCATGATACAATTACTACAAAGTTGGCTAGTACTTGCTTTTAAAATGATTTCTGTTGCTATTCTGTAGCCTCAAATAGTAGTAATATTACCTATAAAATCAAGAAATCACACCACCAACAAACAATAACTTACTACAAAAACAGCGTGAGGGGTCCTGGTGCTTATTAGCGCAACTTTGTCTTTTAACTACCTTCCTTGTGATCAGATATACAAATGATATCTTACATTGACATCCAAATTTGTTCAGTGGATTCCTGCACCTCCCTCCCTGCCCATGTAGCCTTCAGATGCCATCCCTCACTCTGGAGCAACAGGCCTGGTGCAGTGTGAGCTGGCTGGCGGCTGCCATGCAGGAGGCCAGAGGAGAGGGATGTGGAACAGTGCAGCTGCATTCCCAGGAGAATGAATAGCATCAGAAACCAGTAACAGGGATAAAGAAGGGTCTGAAGACTGGAATGTGCATGGGAGAAGGGGACTATAAAGCTTCAAAAGGGTACGTGGCTTTTTTTACTGCTCTGTTTCTTCACACTCAATTTTCAGTTCCAGTTACAAGCTAAAGTGCACAGACCCAAGCTTTGTAAAGAATGAACGATCATGTTCCTGCATCTCATCCACTGAATTCAGGTACCAGGTATCAGTTCAGCAATTATCAACATTTTCATGTGAAAAGAGATCAGAATCCAGATACCATATAGGAGCAACAGAAACGAATGCAAGAAACAGCTCATCTCTATCATAATTTCAGCAACATCACAGTAGCAAACAAACCATTTCTGCAAATGAATCTTAGATATTTCCATAGTGCCTAGCACTTACTACACAGACATTGTCAGCTTCAGAGGGCCCTGATTTCAGTATTTCCCCATATCAAATACCAGAAGAATACCTAAAATCCATACCAATCGGTAGCAGCTATGATTTTTCATAAGAATGCTTTCATCCTGTTTTAGTCCACAATTGCAAAACAATTTAGTCCACAATTGCGTTGCTTGCAAAACGTCCATTTCTAAAATCTTCCATTACCAAGTTAACTACTATAATTTAATAGAATCATTAGCTGTAACACCAAGTCTAGCAGATTGTCTTTGAAAACACCACTCAAATCTGAAAATAGAAAATGAAAGTAAATGCTAGAAAAATGATTGACCATTTCTGGGAAAAAAAAAAAATTTACTGCATTGAGAAAAAACTTATTTTGATGAAAACACAAAAGGTTACAGTAGGACAAAGTCAAAAATATCACACTTGTCAACTTAGGAAAGGCATAATTTTAAATAGCATGAAAAGTGGTCCTTATTTCCATTTCAGGTATAACCACTAGGAACACCTATTTTCAGTATTTGGAAAGGCAGCAGTTATCTCACCAATCTCTTAATAAAAATGTCTACAGTCTATTAAAATCGAGGAGACTAAGTTTTCACAAATAACTTAGTGATTTAATTCTTTTCTTCCTGCACAATTTGGAAGATAAAAAGCTTCAGGCGTTGCTTCCGTCACCAGCAGCTTACCTCAGCTGCCTGGCCTTTTGGTGACTCTGAACATGGGCAGCATCATGTCATGTTTCATTACTGTAACAGGATAAAGAGACTTAAGAACTGGATTTAAGTCTAATACTTTGACTAAAACAATTTCCACATGAGATGTGCAACAAAGTATCCAGTTTGTTTTGGAGACAAGTCTCTTCACAATAGCTTTGCCTTTTACATTTAGTATTTTTCTGTTTGTTTGGTAAGACAAAAGAGTAAGGGGAGCCTACAGTTATGTAAATACACAAAAAACCCACATACATCACTAGTAAATATCAGACTGCATACAAGACAAATTTGTAAAAGTAATGAAACCCTCTGATGTTCCATATCTATGCTGGCAAATACTTCTGATATAAAAGGCACTTTGAAAACCCAATATGGTTTGGTTCATTAAGTTTGCAAAGTACAAACAATTGTACAAACAGAATTATATTGAAGCATGTCAGCTATTGTGACATTATGTACAAAACAAGTTTCCAATTTTTGATAACACTGGTTTTATGGGAATGAGCAGTGGTTTCAGCAGCTTCACTGAAGACATGACAGGGTTTCCAGTACCACAATCTTAGTTTCCTATTGGAACAAATGTAGTAAGTTAAAAAAAAAACCGCAAAAACTTACAAGTTTCGGGGCCACAAAAGGACAAGACCCAAAGTCCATGACATTCATTCAATGTTTACTCCTTAGAAGTGAACTCCATCAGTAGCCCAAAGGCAGAAGTCTATTCAGTCAATTCCGGAACAGTGGTGGAGGCAACTGTCTTGAGAAGTATATACAGTACAGAAAACTTTGGTCCAGCAGCACAGTTTTAGAAATTCACTACATGGCTGCAACATCTATCTGTACATAAAGCTGTCTTACTCCTGCCTGTGGATAAGAAAAGGAGAATTTAAAAGAAACTGAAAAACCAAACCAATTTAACTGTTCCAAGCACTGGTTCACACCAGCAAGTTACCTCACAGGGAACTTAGTATCCTGTTATTCTGTAATGCACGCCCCACATTTAGTGAATCATTCATTGAGTTACTGGCAATTTGTAAACCTACAAACTGTTGGAGAGCTGCATATCATTGCATGTCAGCTACAAATGCTATCAAATACATCACTATCTTTATAAAGAGACTCAAGTTTTGTAGGAAAATAAAGGAGAATACACTGGTCTTATAAAAGGTGACAATGGCTGGTTAAATGTTGACTAATGACCACCACAGCATGGATGTTACTAAAAGGCAACATAAAATAGGCAAAAAATGTGAATTCTTAGGGAACAGCAACGAATGACAAATACAGCATCAGCACAGTGAACAAAAAGAAGCAGGTCCTCTCTGTGGTCAAAAACCTTACCTGGAGGGAATCCTCATCTGTTTTCTTGGTTTCTCATTAGTCAATATAGGGCTTCACCTTCGTTTGATACACCTCAGAAAGCTACAGCTATTATCTCCAGGAAGTGGCATCAAATACTAATGCAGAGAGGTACAGAATTCTACCTACACTACACAAGATTTTTGAGATTGTTCTTTACAGCTGGAGCAGAAAAACTTTTCAACAGTTCTACTGATAGCAAAACCAGAAACACTTCTTTTTTTTTTTTTTTTAAATCAGAATTGTGTCACATCATGAGAAAGGTAATACACACTTTGACACGTGCACAATTTCCACTGATGAGAGACATACCTGAGTAAAAATATTATGAGTCTGGCTTAGAATCCACCTTGCATCAGCATCAGGAGCTACTAGTAATTTTAGAGTCCCTATGTAAACATCTGTACAGAGGGTCCAGAAATGCGGATCATGTAAACTGTAAACTCCTTGCAACTGCTGCACCTGAAAGACAAGCAACTTTTGAAAATAATGTATTTCTGAAAACACATGTACTGTGTTTCTCTAGAAAACATTGTAGAAGCTGATGTATCCTTTTACCTCCACTAGTTTGCTATGTGGTTTTTGATATTTCACTTAAATTCCTTATTGCTGCCTCAGTGTTTGTAAGGAAAATGAAAACATACAAAATCATTACGTACACATAGAAGCTGTATCTAGCTATATTCGTATTCTACATATATTTTACTGAAACCTGCTGTGCATTTCTGAAAACAGTTGTCCAAGAGAGAACAGACACAAAATTACTTAATTGAATGCCATCTCAAAATTAAACAGTAATTTTTGCAGCTGGAGAGGTTAGCCAGGAATTTTCCCATAAACACTCTGTGAGAGATTCTAACTATTAACAGAGATCCTAACGTATTTCTGTAAAAGTTTTGCAAGGGTTTAGGTCTGTCCCAACAAAATTCTTTTTCCTCTGTCCCATTTTAGTAAACCCTGCATGTGACAATTGCAATTTGGAACAATGTCACTCCTTCTATACACACATTTTATTAACCTCGCAGAGACACATTGAATGTTCAGAAATGACACAATAATGGATAATTTAAAGAGGAACAACGAGAGAGGTCAAATGCAGAATAACCTACGTAGTCTGATGCAGACTTTCAGTGTTAAGCCACCTCACTTTCCTAAAGACGGAAGGAGATTTTAAGGAGAGGGAGACAAAAGCTACCCTGAACAAAACAGAACAAAAACATCACGGGCTACTTAACAGCACAAAGTACTTTGAAAGGAAAGGCTTTGGGATCTACTTTTCTAAACCAGTGTAACATATTTTAGGACACAAATTAAGTTGAAACTACAGTTTGGGACTTCAGAAATACAAGAATGAAAACTTATCTCCATTTCTACAATCTAAAAAACATTTCATGGGCGTTACTGGCAAAACATTGCAACACATCTTCAGAATACACAGTTGAGGCTCAATCAGTCAGCAGTTAGATTTAAGCAAAAATGGCCTAAGTATAAGAGCTCACCCTCTGATAGCACTGAGGCAGGGCATTTTCCAGGGAAGGAGGAGTTCGCTGCATCAGAATTCCAATGGATTCTTTTAGAAGTGGAACAACACTAAAAAGACATAAGGAAGTTAGTTACTACAACATTTTCAAAACATGCAGAATAAGCAGTAACATAACATTCCTTCATGCTCTTGAAGAATTTTTTTTTCACTAGAAACTTATAAAATTGCCATAAAAACCTGCTACAGAAAATTAAAAGTTTGACAAAATTGCTACGCTGTCTTACTAAAGGCAAGATTACTGCTCCTTCAGATTTCTCACAGACCACCAGTGAACCATCACAGATTAACAATGTAATTATGGGATTTGGGATGGAATCTCCAAGTGTCTTAAAACTTACGTGACAAAGCAGCTGGTAAGTATAGCTCAGAAGCAAAACCTGCTTCAACGGCAATCACGAACAATCATAAAGATATGCAAGTGTTTTTGCTTTTGTGTCTGGCTTAAGGCATATTTTTCTTATGAACTAAGATAATAATGGGGAGATCATGAAACAAAATTAGTATGGACCAGTCCAGCTGTAACAAAGTTATTTTGTCAGAAACAGATAGCTTAGCATATTCTTGCAGTGAACTTAAGTGTAGGGCCTCATCTATGCTCAAGCATTAAACATTTGGAAACAATTAGAGGTTCCCTCCTGGCTGCATGGTCTTGTTTAATCAGCAAACTAAGAGAGAACTTTCATACTTTTTCTTTTCTTTTCAGGAAACCCATAGGGCTATACCATGAAGCTAAATACTAAACATTTGTGCTTTTAAGTATTCAGTATGGTGAATTTTGTTTAGGATTAGCATATCATGTTTGGTTCAGTACAGCATCCTATAGTTTTCAGGAGGATAATAAAAATCTGTAGCCCGATGTTGAAAGTTAAACAGCAATCTAGTTTCAAGTAAATATAGAGTCACCTAACATTGTCCAGCAAAACCGATAATAAATTTCAGAAGCTGTAAGCTGAATTTCACTGTCCAATACTGGCATCACACCTGGAGTACATGAGCAGTAAGATTTTGAAAAAAAAAAAAAAAAAAAAAAGCCTCAAAACCACATGCAGCAATGGAGAATGCACTGCAGAAAACAACTACATACTCAAAGATGGTGAAGAGCATGACCTAACCACATTCCCTTCTGTCTTTAAAGGTATTGTTCCGTTTGTACACAGATGCAGTGCCAGTTCACAAGGCCTCCAACTCCTCAGCTCACTCCTCAGCTAATCCCCAGCGGGGCAGGGAGTGCACGGCTCCTGTGCAACAAACCGGGCTGGAGAAATGACCACCCTCCATCCAAGCAGGCCTCCTTGCACCTACGCCTGCTCTTCCAGCCAAATCCACTGCCAGATGCACTCCCCCACATGCCTCATGGAGTTGTACTGCTACTGAGAATCAGTTTAGAAATAGGAAGGTGCAATTAGGGGCAAGCAGGGGATGCTTAAGATGGACCTGTCACCAAGACAACTGAACATGTAACAATGCCCTCATTGACCACCTGTCCAAAGTAAGTGTTATTGGAGCGTACAGTGGATTAGAGGAGTTTAGGGAAGAAGTTGCTCTTATCAGTGGTCCCCCCTCACTAAACAACGTCTTGGTCACAAATATTACATTAAAGGAAGCTAGAGTGCCAAATAATCCATTGCTTAATTGATTTCAGTTTAGCAAGTTAAAACATAGGCTTGTTTTTTAATGAAAACCTTGAAAGACGAACCCGCAAGTTCAGGATGCAGGATCTTTGAATAGTGATATTATCCCCATAAATTTAACAAGGCCCCCTCTAACAACGTGCACCCAAAAGCTTCAACCGTACAAGCACAGGCTGCATATTTTTTTCCCAGGGAAATGAATGAACAAACGGAGAATGCAAGAGGTTCTTTTTCTATGAAGGATACCCCTAACTGGGGAAAAATATCCATGAAAAAAGTCTGACCAAAACACTTCTAATTTGAATGAAATATTTAGAGTATCTGATAAAATTGATGTACATTATCTGATCTAATGGAAGTTAATCAAGCGGGAGATGCGGAGAGAGAACCTACGAAAACCTAAAACTAGCAGGTGGTGCATGTTAGCCCATTCCAAAAAACAATTTGATCAGTGAAACTGGTTGATTCATTCTGGAACAGGGTGCACACTGAAAAGGGGAAGTTAAAACCCTGTTAGAGAGCTATTCAGCTGAAGAGGTACTTCAACTTAGAGTTGCTTAATTCTGAAAGGCTTTTACCTTAAGAAACTGGTCTTCCAAGGTTGAGTCTACACCATTGGTAGGGTGTGTGCAAGCACCAAATACTGTCTCTTCTTGCCAGGCAATGGTGTTCACTTTCCAGCAGCGCTTAAAGTCTGATGGAACCATTAGCTCAAACTCAACTAATACAGAAAAGTGCATGAGGAAGGATATTCTACTCCTAGTATAGGCAGTATAGTTTAAAAGTTTGTCTCCTTGCGGGCAAGACTCCTCCTATTTGTTTTTTTATAATGGCTCCATACTAAGGCTTTAAGAGGGACTTCTGTACGTTTTTTTGGCAATAACGTTCCACAAATTACAATTTTTATCCAGACTTAACAAGAAACCCAAAACCATGGTTTTTAATTAAAACAGTAACATCTTAAGAGTCCAAATAATACAGATAAGTCAGGAAGTGGCTTGACACTGTAGATGAATGCTGAAGCGTATCCCAGGTCACATCTTTCTCAGGCACAGTGTTCAACTAGGAATTTACCTCTTGTAAGGCTGAAAAGACCAAAGGACAGCTGCAGTGATGGGATATGACCTCACAAATTTTACAAGAGCACACAAGCCCATGCACACATCTCTATACCCCAAGGCACATTTTTTCATATAAGGTACTCTTTCAGGGTAAGCCAAAATAACACGACAAATTACAGAATCCAGAGTTTTCTGATATCTCTGATTTTCCATTGTTTCAAAAACAAAGCCCACTTTTCTTTTCAAACACAAACTGAAAAACCAGTATCACTTAATCATCAGGAGGCACTAGGAGTATTAGTTCCATCTCATGTGACTGAAAATAAACCACTAGGAAAGATGATACCACTACGCAGGCTGAAAATGTGGTTAGAGTTTTACCAAGCTTTCCTATTTTTTTTTTTTTTTTTTATTTGTATTATGGCCAGTATCGGGGATGGGGTTAGGGGAAATGTTGGTTTGACTGGGTAAACCCTTACTTCTGAAAAACTTTCCTTTTTTTTTTTTTTTTTGATTAGTCAGTAGGGCAAAATACACATGGTTGTATCTGCAGCAACTACTGCACTGATACTTCCCTCTTTCTTTTTAACTACAAAAAACTGTTAAGGAAAACAACACAATTTTCACTGAGGTTTTTTAATGCATAAGCATTCCATAAGCTTTGCTACTAAAGCAGATAAAATTTTTCTGCAAGTTTCAATCACCAAGCCCTACTGTATCACAGTATTACACAGGACAATGGGATTTGAAAGAGGTACTAACCCACAGACAGACATTAACGCATCCTCTACAAAAAGCGGTAAAAAAGGCTACTGGATGAAAAAGGGGTTAGCAGCAAGAAAGCACATTACACTTTCACACACAGCTACAAAGAAAATGAAGGTGCTGAAACAGGTAAAATCCACTGACGTGAATCTAACGAATCTAGTTTGCAGCTACCACACACGGCTTGAATAACAATCAAAACCAAACACTGTATGTATGAAAAAGTGTTAGAATCACAACCAGTCTGTATCACACTCAGATAAGACACACTTCAGTCCGTTATTGCTTATGCCACTGTTCCTGTAGTTACAGACAGCAATACTGTCTAGCATTGGCATAATCTTAGACAGCAAAACTGAAAAAAGCACAGGGATAAAGACCCCTTTACATAATCACTGTAGTCAGATCACAAACAGGAAATTCATTTACTGCTGTCAGCACTATGAAAAATAAAGGATACTTGTAATAGATTTTGTGGAAGGTAAACAAACCCTGCTAGGACTTGAGGCCAGCTATGGTTCTTCCTTCAAGTACTGCAGCCCAAAACGTAAAGTGAGAATTCAAAATCATTCATTTCCAGCCACCACACAAATCTGCAGTGCCAGGAATGTCATCCTATTTCAAAATTTAAGGTCTACTGGGAAAAAAAAAATCCATTAGGCAATGGCAATTTAAAGCAAAATGCAGGCTTTCCTCAAGACAAGGATTACTACTGAAAAGTTTAGTATTTACTTTTCCAATTTCACATGATCTATTCTCATAATTATGCAGTACTAATACTACAGTAATACTGATGACAAGAGGTACTGTCATTATCCCTAGTATTACCAGATTTTTTTTTTTTTTGGGGGGGGGGGTGGGGTGGGGGTGTAATTTTGACCTTGGAATGAAAGCTAACTAAAATCTAGGAACACCTTTGACTGCCATTTTAACATTAGCACTGATTTTTACACAGCCATGTACTGAGCTGAGGAGGAACGTGCGCCTTTCTTTGCGAGTGGAACCACCTCAGTCATCAAGGAAACAGACCTTATTCTTTTACTCAAATGAAAATAGCACCTCTTACAGCTATGCCATTTTCTGAGTTGCCATAGATAGCTAGCATGAAATTTCAAGAAATTAAACTGCTCCCATGGGGGAAAAAAAAAAATCTGAAGCTTATAAAGGTAAGGAAAAATCTCCGTAAGGGACAACACAGTCGGCAGTTAATGCATGAATTATCAGGTTGAGTATCTTAGTTTCCTCATGAGGAAACTATCTGAGGCACAAATCACCTTTTCAATTGACATACTCTTAGCAAAACAGGGCTCTGATCCTCAACTGAGGCTGGCAGGTACCACTACCCTGTAATTAAAGGCAGTGCATGCCATTTAATAACGATGGCTCAAAACAAGTCCAACTACAAACATGCTATTTTGGGGGAGTTTTGCTGCAGAATATTCCTTCTGAATGCTAGCGAATGCAGCACTCCATTTAAAAGTTGGCATAATCGGCTTAAAATTGCATACCAAACAAAGCATTAACTAATGAACAAAGTCAAATTTCATACTTCTGCGCCACAAATGTTACAGGTTTGTTCTCCCCCAAAGC